AGTGGGTCCAGGTGGTTGAGTATCTGAGTGTTCCATGTCATTTCCCTTTGGGGTTGCTGTAGGTGATCTGGAAGTCTGGTTTTGAGACTTATTTACTTGTTTTCTCATTTCAACTTGGGCCGGGGCTGTTAGTGCCTGCACAGATTACCTCCTCTGAGCTGGGAGAGGTGGGACAGGGGCTGGGAGCAGCAGTAGGGATTGTGGCCCAAAAGCCCTTTCCTCTGGTCTGGGAGCAGCGGGAGGGGTGTTGACCGGGAAGTCCCTTCCTCTGGACCAGGAGCACTGGAACAGTGGCTCAGAAGCCCCTGCCTCTGGGCTGGGAACAGCGGGACTCAGTACCTTGGTCTGGTGGTCTGGTGTCCTCTGCGTCTTTGTAGTGTGGAACCAGGTGGCTGTCTGTCTGCAGTGGGGTGATTCGGTGTGTTCTGTGTGACTCTGGACCTCAGTCGGGCGTGGGCAGACCTGCCTGTCTGCAGCAGGGTGATTTGGTGTCTTCCGAGTGGCTCAGGACCTCGGAAGGGAATGCCCAGACCTGCCTGTCTGCAGCGGGCTGATTCGGTGTCTTCTGTGTAACTCAGGACCTCAGTAGGGCGTGCACAGACCTGCCTCAGGATTTTCACAGTTTATAGTTTATATTATTTCGATTTGTTGAATCCTATGGTACCTAGATTCACAATCATGTCTGTGAACAATTTGATTCCCAAGCGCAAGTGGTTGGAAAAATTGGTTTTTTGTTTTTGAACTCTGCATCAGATGACAAACATGAACGTGGCCATCTTTTCCAGAATCATGGAATGAATTAAACTCATGAACTGAGGTACCACTGTATGAGTCTCCTAAATTTGACAGTCATATTGCATTTACAAACTAATCTGTTTAAATTTTGTAATCCAAGTTACTCCTTTCATAACTCATAGCTATTGAATTAACTTATGCTATTAGTAAATATCTGTAAGACATGGTTTTATTAGTTCAAAATGTAATCAAGTGGCCTTAATACTACAGAAATTACATAATCTGAAAGTCTCAGTAGACTGGTACTTTCCAATGATGTGCTGTTTTCACATTCCCTAAAATGCAGCTGTGACAAAGATCCTCAGACCACTGTCATTGAAAATGGCAGAAGTCAGCGGGGCCGGTTTTCATTTGAGGTGTTCCGATTTGTGAAGCACAAAAATCAGAAGATGTCCACCGTTTTCCTGCACTGTGTTACCAAGCTCTGCAGAGCTGATGACTGCCCCTTCCTTATGCCAGTATGTTTTTAAACAACTTTATTCAAAAATGTTGAATTGATCTAAGCGGAAAGGCTATCAAATGTTAAGAGCTAATTTCTATCTAGGTCAAATGGTTTGAAATAGAATTTATTGATTCATACAATAAAGATCCATTGAATGCCTAACTTTTGCCAAGCATTATATGGGGGATAGGGAGATGCAATAAGTCATAAATTCTGAATTCAATTAGCTTGTATTTTACTATCATGAGATTTTCATGCAAGAAAGAAAAAAGTCTTTTGTTACAAAACAGAAAACTCTATGTATTGTAGTAGGAGGCAGCACTCACCATCATGAGAAAGATGGAGAGGGGAGATTCGAAGAATTAATGGAGGAGATGAGGCCCAGCTCTGACTTTGAAGATAGATATATCTAAGAGGAGAAAGTCAGGAGTGCAAGAGACACTCCATATGAAAGGGTGTTCAAAGTCTACAGATACATAAAACAGTGTAAGCAGAGCAGAGGAGGATGGGAAACCCTGGGGTTGGGTTGAACCAGTGCTAGAAGGTAAGATTGTTGCCAGATGGCCAAGGAATATTTTGGATTAGGAGTAAAAAGCTATAAAAGGTGTGGATCTTTACCCACGATTAAATAATAGATCCAGTTAGTAGTGAATAAAAATAAATAGTCACCATTAAAATATAGATCTAAAATTCTATTCTGACAGCCCCCCTGGAATTACATCAATATTAGCAAAAAAAAGCAAGCCTTTTTTATTTGAAGTAGCTTTAATATATTTATTTTTATGCTCTGCTCGTGCATAAAGATGAAGCTATTTGTTCACACTCACTGATCTTGTTCATCTTAACTAGCTCTATCAGATGGAGGTAAATGGAGAATTCATATTACTGTGAGTGTGCTGACCAATATTTTCAGGAAGAATTTATTAAAGGCTTGAGAGAAATTAAAAAAAAATTGACAAACACAGCTCTTTTTAGGAGAGCCATTGAGCTCTGTAAATTAATGAAGCAGTACACAATTACAGCAGGAGGAAATAAGAAATGTGGCCCAAGTCAGGAGAAGAAACACTGTAGCAGTTATATGCTAAGTAATTAAATGAATGCACAGAAGGAAATGAATAAAATTGAACATGTGGTGTCTCTTCCAAAAGAATCTGGTTTCCAAATGGCCATAAAGAAACAATTTTGTGCTACTGTGGAATTTCATTTGTTTTCATTAACACCTCAGATTTGTGGCCACAGAGAAAGGAGAGATGTGGAGAAGAGGACCACTTGGAGCCCCCAGAGCACTTCTGGAAACGCAGTCCTCTCTGCTGGTCCCATCATTACTCGGAGTGGTAGGAGTGTTCTTTGTTTTATATGTAGTAACAGATGGTTCCAAAATGGCTGGTTACTTGGCTTCTAAAGAGAACTCAAAGTGGTTCCTAAACAGCACTAATTAACTGTGAGACAAGATAAACTGTTAAGCAACTTTAATTTCATAGTAGTTTCCTGTTTGCTTAACTTTCACACAAAGGACAGTATTGTCCTCCATACATTTCCTTTTACACACACACACACACACACACACACTGGGCTGTTCTGCATTGTGCTTCTCTTCCTGTCCTGCTCTCTCCCTTGACAACTCACCCACATGGACTGTGCCCACTGGCTCCTTCTCCACCTGGTTTCTGGATGGCACTGTCAGCAGATGGGTGGCCCAGAAATGTGAAGTCCATGCTGTGCCTGAGTTCTGAAACTGCCCTTTCTGTATTCTTCCTTTAATCCATTGCCCAGGAAACTTGACTTTCTCTTGTTAATTCCCCACATCTTTGTAAATAAGTCTATTAAACATTCCTGAACTTGCCCAGTTTGAGTGCCATTTGTTTTCTTCCAGAATCTTATACTGTTTATGTCTATTCAGTGGACTCGTTTATGCAGCAAATGGACACAACTATTTATACCTATATATTCTCCTATATACAATATAGGTGCATACACTTACCCACACTTATGCACATGCACTACAAAGTGCACCCAGAAACATCCAGATTTGTTTGCATGAACTCTGAAATGGAAGTGTGAAAATCTAGTTTTAGGTCTTGCTTTTGTTCTAACAAGATGTGAGACATAGGATTTTACTTCACTTTTCTGGGCAAAGGATTCTTTCTAATTCTGTGGTTCTAAATCTGTCTACATAATAGAAGTATTCTGGTTTAGATTATATACTAATAATATTTTCTCGACTTTATTTTAGCTATAATGCTCTTCTTACTATGTTTATTTTAATTTTCTTTACTTTTTCACCTATGCTGCTTGTAAAAAAGCAAGTTTTGCCAAAATAGGTAAATGATAAGCTAAAAAGTAGTTTTGCCTAAACATAAAGACAATTGATTTCATTACTTACTAACAAACATTACTTATGTTTATGTAGAGGTACCATTATTTTAAAAGAAACTAATAGGCCCTTAAAATAATGCCAAAATTTATTAAATATGAAATTTAAAGATTAGTCCCCAGTCCTATAGATGTACTATTAATGATTTGAAATGACTGGTTTAGGGTTTGTGTAAATCCCAATTCTTAACTCTTTGGAGTTGTAAGACATTGCTTGTAGAATTACATGGGATAGAAACTCAGTTCTTGTTGCCAGCGGTTAGGAATGCTTTATGAGGCAAACTAAAAAATATTTTTTATTCTATGGAACATATCTGGAGTCACTTTGCTGTAAAACTTAGAAAGAGGAATCTTTTGTTCATCTTGGGTAAATGGCTTTTCTTTCTTAATAACCTCCTTACCTTCTTCTTACCTGGGCCAATCCAAATTTAAACATTACAAATTCTGAGTAATTATTGTGAGATATTTTTTCTCAAAAAATTTTTTTCTCAAAAACATTTTTTTTTTTTTGAACTCTGGACCTTGCACTTGCAAGGCAGGCGTGGTGTCACTGAGCTTAATCCCTGGCCCTAGGACAAATCATTTATGAGTCTCAAATCTCACAGAAGATTACTACCTAGAAATCTCTAACTCTACCATAGCTAACCAGTTATCTAGGTTTGTAGTTTTCACCCATCCCATATCTAGTGGCCCAAAATATTCATCCTAAAATCTCAAAGAGCTATTTCTTCCTTTCCAATTTCTGACCTGAAGGAGTCACTTATTCCTTAGTGCCCTTGAGCTGTCTGAGTAACCTCAGATCTCTCCACCAGTAAAGGCCTTGACCCATCATGTTCCACCCTTTTGGACTGGCTCATTCTCTCCGTATTTATTATTTTGATAAGTAGCAGTAGGGTGCTCTTCACTTTTTGGTGATCATGGTAGCCTCACTGCTTAGAGGTTCACAAGTAACAATATTTACATTGAAGAACTATAATTATATACATTTACTTTAATTCCACATGAACACATAACTCAGAACTCATACCATGTCTACCCACAGGCAAGTCCTATGTAAATGTAACATTCAGCTTAATGACAGAGGCTACTCTCTTTCTTTTGCATTTTTTTTTTTTTTTAGCTTAGATCAGCTAGAACTTATCTCTCCACATCCTGTGGCTGATTTTACATAGAGGAGTCCATGCTAGGCTGGATTTTCTGTCTTCAAAGTTCTCTGATACTTGAAAGTTTTGCTCTGTTTGCTCATTAAACTACTCCTTTTCCCTACACATCTGGCTTAGCTTGTTTAATAAACTGTCAAACCTCCTGATTTGTTTTCATTTTAATGAAGTCAAATCTATTTTGGTTATTTCTAATTAACTATTTCAATGCTTTTGTTGACTTAGGAAAATATTCACATTTTTCAAAACACAAAATCTCCAAAATTACTGAAGTGTTATTTAAAGTTCCCAAATGTTCAAAGTGCTGAGGTGGAAAATGCTTATAGGCTGCAATTTTGGCACAAACACTTGGAAATAATAATATGCAATTGCTTTGTTAATATAAATTTCTATATAGAAGCCCAAACCAAACTCTTGTTAAGTGGTATCATTGAATTTTATGGGTAGTTAATAATTCCTGTGAACTTATTTTTTTAGCCCCTGCTTGAAACAGGTACTTTACTAAGAACTGGGCCACAAATTTTCCCTTCAGGGACTTTAGAGTTTAGAAGTAGATTATTACCAAACATAACACAGTGTAAAGTAGAAAGTTTAGAGGTAAACTTTTATATGAGTAATTAAATATTTAAAAAAATATATTTTCTAGAGATAAGAAAGGAGATATTTATTCTGCATATGTCTGGACAGATGTTTATATTTTCCATTTATTCCAGCATTTTTTATGAGAAAAAAAAGCAAAGAATGACAATATGTCTGCTCTTTCTGGCTTTGAAACAGCTGTGGCTTTGCCACTATTACTCTCCTCTGTGTATCCTCAGGTAGCTATATATTCTTTGAAGTGCTCACCACGTTAGCTATTGAATCTGTTGTAACTTCAGAAGGCTCCATGTGCTTCTTTGAGAATATATGTACATGTCAAGAGCAAGTGGATTTAAGGGAAAACAGAATTGTGTGGTGACAAAAGTTTCCTGGAAAATGTCTACCTCTTCTTTTTGGACCAGACAGTGCTTTTTGTTACAATGATACAAAAATTGGAGAACATAAGAAACATTAACCTGATAAAGCAATTCTATCCTTATTTACCTTCAAATACAATCCCAAATAGCATTCAACTGTTTTATTGTTTGTTCACTTGCCAATGGTAGGATGGTTTCATTTTTTTCAGTTCTGCTAACAGGAGGTAATGTGCTCATTTGGCACACACACAGGAAGATTTTGTCTATAGCCAAGCACTCATGGATGATATCTCACATACTGTTCTATGGAAGTTGGTGGTAATATGGGGAGCGGAGGAGGTGATCTGCCCTTTATTAACCTCAAAATGCAGGACATAGCAAGGGATTCAGTAGGTACTTTTGTCTTATTTGGAAAACTTAGTAAGAAGAAGCCTTCTATTCTATTCTTCCATACATTTTAAAAAACAATTTAAGTGTGACTTCTAAAAAAAAGAAGAACTTTACAAAGAGAGATTTAGAGTATTATATATTATGCTTTTATGTTCCAGTAAGGCAGCTTATCTTGCAAAAGGACATGTAGATCTTTTGGATGAATTGATCACAGTGCGTTCATGTCTTCTATTTCCGTGAGAAGGAAGTGTCTTTATAAAGTAGTGTTGGTTGTAGGTTAGGATTTTCCTGAGAATGTCCTATAATGAAAATTTGTGGAGTTTTTCTCCTATTGTAATACACTACACCATTCTAATGAATGAATGCTGTATTAATTTTAAACACTATACTTTAAGATCAGATAGAAAAACTATCATTTTTGCCAAGATTCATAGCTCTGAAAAGAAATGGCATCAGGGGTTTTATTAATGTCTCATTGGGTTCTCTCATTAATTGTTTTAAATACCAGTCCTGGAATTTTTAGCTTGAGGTATTCATCTCCACAGCTAAAAATATTTTCCATAAATGGCCAGTGTATATGATTTTAGAAAAAAGGCTCTGAAATGGAGCGTGGATTTAAGCATATGTTTACTTTGCCAGAGAGGTTATGACAGATGGAAGTTTCTTCATCTGTAAAATGGGATTACCAATAATATGGTTATCATGAGAATTCAATGTGAAAAGATATGAGATAGCACTTTTAAACTGTGCAGCAGCACACATGCATTAATTACAATAATATTTATACTCCATAAATAAACAGTGAACTGCATATATTTTATGGTTAAAATCTAACACTCACAGGCACATACCCGCCCATGTGTTAACACAAATATGAAATCCAATAGTTGTATAAGCTCAAGGATTAATAGTGACATGATTTCTAGTTGGACAACAAGAATTGGGAAAACAAGGGAATGTATTTAATGTTCAGTTATTATGTTTGCCAAAGAAAAGTGAAAAATCAACAGTTTCGATCTTTGACTAACAGATGCTAATAAAACTACAACTGAAGCTCAGGAATTATTTTTCCCTTTCATTTAGTTATTAAGTGTGAATTTATCCTCCTGGAACTTAAAATGATGTTTTTTAAGATTATGTTGAGCAAATTGGCAACACTTAAAAATAGAGTAGTGCTAAATAATGAATATTTCTCTTTAACAGAATAACAAATGGGAGGTTACAGGGCCATAAAAAATGTAATAGCTGTTAACAGCTACTGCTCCCACTAACCTGACCGGTGAGATAATGATGAGCCAAAGTTAAAAGGAGAAAATGTAACATAATATATTTGGGGATTCCATTTGGATACTCAGGGAAGTGGCAGGATGTGGGCGTGGGAAACAGATGATGAAATGTGGGACAGAAAAATGGGAAAGCAGAATGGTTTAAAAAGGGCTTTCATTTATCCCTTCCTTTTGGTGCTTGTGGGTGGAGATCAAGAGGGATATAGGTAAAAAGTTATTACGGACTCGGTAAACAAAGATAAATATTTGGAGAGACTTGTTATTTCTTTTTTCCTGTTTTTACTCCTTAGATGAGATGCCAACCAACAATTCACAACTTGGTAAGATAATTAACATTTATTACAAATAAAGGATCTATGTTTCAAAAGTTTTTGGTGATGTAAAGCTGTAATCAGTTATAAAGCTGTAATCAATTAAATGTAATGAACTCTAGCTTTTAAGTCTTATATTTTAAATAACATTTCAATGATGATTTTTGAACTCATATGTGATCTATCAGCTAATTGTCATAGCATCATATAGTTGGTTGTTTTGTTTCATTTGTTTATTTATTTTTATGCAATCCTTTTGTGTGTTTGTGATTATTTTCAGGTTCTCTGAGTGTACCTCCCTTCCAGTTGAACACCATCACCAGTGCACTGATATCGGGAATGGTTATTCTTGGAGTCATGAGCTTTTCCCTTCTCCTGTGCTCATTGGCCCTTCTACACAGGAAGGGCCCCACCAGTTTGGTGTTGAATGGCATAAGAAACCCAGTCTTTGAGTGATTATGCCATGTTCTGCTCTTGAGGGAAGGCTTAACTCACTATGTGTGATTGAAGTCAATGTTCTGCCTGAATTGAATGCCAGCCATCACTTGATATTTTAAGTTTGATAGATTTCACAGTATATCTCATCAGAATGATGATAGTGAAATAATTTTTCTAATATTGGTATTGTCACTTATATATGTGGCCAACCCTATTTTTATGACATTAATGGGCATACTGACAATAAGTAAAAAATATTCAGGACTTAGATCTTACAGGATCAGTCATATTTTATTTTATTTCAATTTTTTTAGATTATTGGTTTAAGAGACAAAAAGTTGGCTTAGAAAAAATATGGAATTTGTTTCATTTTTTCTTTAAGCCTTAAAGATCAATGTAATGGCTTTAGGTTTGTATATGTGGTCCTATTATGAAAGTTGAATTTTCTTTTATTACATATATTCCACCTAGGGTGATATACTGATTAGACCATCCAATTTGACATATATGAACACTAGGTATTTGTTCTATGACTTACTGTGTTTTGGGCTGATCTTCATTCTTGACAATACACCCTAAAAAACAAATAGAAAACCAGACTTCTGGGAAATGTTTATCAACCAGGGACACCCATTGCACAATGAGTAAATAGGAAATACAGTTGCTACTTTCCAAAGGACACTAAGTGTCCCTAGATCATATTAATCTGGAATGACTGTGACTGGTTTTCTCCTTTTGATTCACGTGAGAACATCAGCATATGTTAATGCCCCTTGGAGGGAAACTCGTTCAGCTGCTGCTGTAGCTGTGTTTCCGGCAATGAGGCAATTATGTCCTCCTCCTCCTCTTTTTCCTTCTCTTCCTCTTCCTTCTCTGAGGTTCTGGGGATTGAACCCAGGACATCACTCATGCTAGGCAAGCACTCTACCCCTGAGTTACACTCCAATTCTGCAAAAATTACTCCTATTCCTAGTCATTGCATGAGAAAACAAACCATATTCATGGGAAGAGGACATTATTCTCACTCCTTAAACTTGGGGTTCATATAAGGGGTTTTTAACAACTCGGGTTCCTCTTTTCTCCTAGAATAAAGAAGAGGCTTAGATTAAATGTAATTTGCAGAAGTTTACTGGCATCTACTTGAATAAAGTGCTCTTTTTTGCCCCAATTTTTTTTTTTTTTGGTACCGAGGATTGAACTTGGGTTCTTATGCTTGCAAGGCAGGTGGTGCAGGAGGCGGAACCACTGAGCTAAATCCCCAGCCCTTTGCCCCAGTTTTTGATGTCAGAAAAATAGTCTTGAGAAATTTTCCTTCTAAGGTATTTTCTGATATGTGCCATAATTGCCACATGATAAACAGAATTATCTTGTAATGGTAAATTCTAAGAGCATTTGATTCTTTATAAGTTTTGCAAAATTTTTTTAAAGTCAAGTTTTAAGCATCCCATGTTTTTATGAAAATAATCAACCTCATTGTTAAGACTATTCACAGAACTGAACAAATAAAAACAATTCAATGACAAGCACCAGAACTTAGCATATGTGGCTACCAGAAGTGCTGTGTTAACTGTAAAATATTACTGTAATAAGTAATTTTATTCAACACTCATGCCTCAGTATTCAGGACTTACTTACTATACTACATGCAAATCATTGTACAGTTTTAGATTTGTTTCAAATGGAGTATCTACACTGTAAGTTAATAAATCAATCATCAAGTAAAAAACCACTTTTTTCCCAATTTCCCTGAATATTTCAGAAGCAAGTGTTTGTGTTATGATGATTAGCTATACAATTGCCTCATCTCTTCTATTTTAAGCTATATGCACAAAGTGAAGAAAGATGTGGAAAGTCTTTAGGTAATTTCTTCAACATCGAAAATATTAAAATCACTCAAAAACCAATCTCTTCTTCCCTGTGTTACTTCAAAATAACTTTGAAGTGAAAATTCTGATCTTTATCAGTGTTAAACCGATGAACAGAGTGTGCTACCAATGTGACCCTGTGTGTACACGGGTAGTATTGAAATATTTTGGTAAATCTATTTCAGGTACCTTAAATGAATTGCCATTGATTTGAGGATTAAGATTATTGAAGTTGGTTTGTCAGTTTGATTTTTATGCTTTTGGGATGGCCACTGTTTCAGCTATTGAATTTTCAAATTCTATTTTCCATTTTGTAGAACTGAATAATGGGCATATATCATTCTGGAAGCAACTTAAGTCTCCTATTATTTTTTTGCCACCCTTTCTTCATTGTTTTGGAGTTACAGTGAAATAATCCAGATTTGTTTCATACAGCTTTGTTCTTACAAACCTGCTGTTATCTGTAGTATTTAGTTACACTGAGTTTTCTGGTTATTGTAGTGTGAAAACCTTACAAAACATGTGCAAATGTCTCTTCAGTTTTAATACCTCAAACTGTGTTTTGCACTTCAGGGGTAAGGTCTGATGATATGTAAAAGATGATTGTTTAATAAAATAATTATAAATGAATATCTTGAAAATATTGGCTTGGTTTTTTAAAACACATATTTCTCCTTTTCACTCTAAGGATCCTATTCTTATTTTCACAAGTGTTGAGAAAGATTTAGTCTAAAATAAGCTGCCAGGTCCAGGGATTAGCTCAGCAGTGCAGCGCCTGCCTGGCAAGTGGGAGGCTCTGAGTTTGATTCCTGATACAAAAAAATAAATAAGCAAATAAATAAAATAAAATAAGCTGCCTAATGGAAAGTGGGAGATCTGTGCAGGGAGGTGGCAGTGGTGCCCTCTCAATACTGAGGGAGGTTCCTAGCTTAGGCCCTGTGTTGGAGAGGTACCCTTGTGATGCTATCAGCTGAGGGATGGAACTGCCCTCTGCCTTGGTCTTTAGTCTGGCTAAAGTGGAGCTTATGACTTAAAACTGTGCTGGATACAGTAAAAACTGGAAAGACAAGCAGCTCAGTTTCTGCTGAGAGTTTCAGTCTCTCACAATAGTCTCAGCCAGATCTGGTTGTCATCTTTTTTCTTGGGGTTGGGGGTGAGTTGAAGACATAGTGTTAAAGAGAAATCTGTTTCTTGACTCAAGAAGAATCCACTTGTACAGAAGTAGGTCCTAGTTTAAGCCCTTAGGTATCCATAGTTAGCTTTGGGAGCATCACAAGTTAAGGGGATTCCTGAGGGGCATTGTCAGCTGTGAAACAAGCAAGGCTACTTTCTTTATGTAGCCTCTACATGCAATAAACTCGCACAGTGAGAGTAGAGAAGGAGAATCTGATGGGAGGTGCTTGTGTCTGAACACACATGAGGTAGTTTAGGGAATTTAGCAGGAAAGAGTCCAATAGGATGGACACCTACATACATTCACTTTTACTCCATATTTCCAAGAAAAAGAATAAGCTAATTATAGATTAATTGCTTTTAGGAAGAAGGGATATCTTTTATATAAAACATTATATATTTAAAATTCAGAAAACAAATTTTTAAAATATTTGAGTAGTAAATAAAAAGGATGTATTAATGGACTAGTGTATTACTCAGAGTTCTTCAGAGAAAAAAATCAACAGGGCATGTGTGTATATATATGTACATATATACAAAGCATATGTTATATATAATAAGTATATAAACATAATCTATAATAAAATTGTATAATTATATACACTGTATACATTATACACACACACACACAATAAAGAATTGGCTCATGTAACTATGGAGGCTGTACAAGACTTGCAATTGGGAAGCTGCAGGTTTAGTTCCAATCTGAAGTCTGATAGGCTCAAGGCTGGCAGGAAAATTTCATGTTCCAGTTGAAGCCCAAAAGCAGAAAAAAACCCCCAATGATCAAGCTTGGAAAGCAATGAGGAGGGAAGGCTAAATTATTTTTTGTTGTTGTTCTATGCAGACCTTTGACACATTGTATCACACTACGAAAAAGCAAAACTTCCTACTAAGTCTGGTGACATTAGGGAATGAATAAATAAAGTGTTATGAAATTTGACAGCACAATTGAAGTATTTTAATAATATTTAATACCCTTTATTATTTAATAATAAAGAACTTCTGAATGGAGGGTCCTCTTTTACATTAGCTGAATAATAGTGATCAAAGGAAAGAAGGATGGGCCACAAATGTGTGAGCACTGATCAGTTCTGCCAAATTACTTTGGGACAAGGACAAAGGTTCCGCATCCTACAGGGTTAGCATTGAGTGTCCTGGTAGCCAATGACAGCAGTGTCAACAGGCCAGAACAGTGAAGAGCATTCCACAGGGCAGCAGAAAGAATGGAAGTAAGCAAGACAGGGACGTGCTGGGGACTGAGAGGAAAGATCTCTTAGAAGAAACTGGATCACTGGCAGGAGGTAGAACTGAAATCATTGATGAGTGTTACATTTCACATGGTGTTGGTCTGTCTCCTTCAGAGGCCCAGTGTAAGTGGAAACTGAGTTAAAAAGTTATTTTTCATGTTTGTGGAATATCTTGCCTGATGGTTTATTGGCATGCAGCATCACTCTCTGCAAATTTGAATAACAGAGGAGAAGTAAAATAGCCTGATTAATGTCACTTTTTGCTGAGATAGCAAGGAAAGAATCAGTTTTGAGGACTTCTGGTCATTTATACTAGACATAATATTAAGAAGTCTCTGTAAGTGACTTTCATTTATCAAATACTTTGTGTTCTTAGCATAGTAAAACTGAGAATTTAAGATTGTTATCTGTATAGTCCAATCCTCCAATTCCTTTTGCTTCAAGTATCTGAATATTTCCTTTTTCATTTTAATTGCCAACATAATTACCTCAATATTCTGTTTCCTTTTCCTTTTTTATGTACAAAAGAGCAGTGCTACATGGAGTCTAAGTCAAATGTAGTGTAACCCAAATTTCAAGGTTAGTTTTCATCAGGGAATAGCTGTGTTAGCATTGCCCAGAGCATAATCATTATGGAGTCATCCTGCTGTTTGGACTAATCAAGTAACACTGGAAATTTGGGGGCAGTTGTTGTTTGACAATTTTATGCAACTCTAACTCAAAGTTATGCAGTTTCTGAAGCTATTTCTCCTCCTGTAAATAGTTTATAACTTTTTTTTAAATAGTTGTGAGCAATTGAAACAAATGAAAAATTACCATCAGGGAATATATTTGTTTTTAGTAAGTATTTGCTACTTGGGAATAGAACTAAGTTGTTATTTAAAAGCTATTGTTTTTCTACCATGTAGCTAAAGTAAGATGGCAGCAACTAATGTAGAACGCATGTGTGAAAGAAACAGAACCTAGTAATCCCTCTGGAATCTATTAAGATGAATTATAGATGCCTTTCTGGTATCTCATCTCACTTTCTAAACACAGTGTGGAGTGAAGGTAATTCACTATCATTCAGTAAAAGATTATCAAAATTTTAATGGTTTCTTTCCAGTTTGTCAATGGGTACATAAAAGAGTTTCTTTTATTTCAGAAATATATCATCATAATGTTTTGTAGCATTGTACCATAGATGATTTGTGCCTGTAGGACTGGATCAGAATCTCATTTAATGTTACCATAAATATTATGATTAAATCAATAAAACAGTACAGTTATTTAATTAATAACCTGTTTCAGAGATATTCTAGGTTAAAGAAGTTTGCACACATCTGGCCTTGCATTCACAGTTGTATTGAGAAATCTTGGTCACTACTCCAGTGGCTTCCAAATCCATATATTTACTCCCCTAGGATGGAATTTCCACCAACTCACATAAATTCTCCTCAACCTTCTTTTGGTTTCTTTTCTGTGTATAAGATTCAATGTGGTTAAGGTTAGAGTTAGGGTTAGGGTTAGTGTTCTGCCTGTATTATTGAGATAATTGTATTAACTTATTTAGTTTCATCTCCTAAATTTTTCTGTATTTAATCTAATAAACACATACCCCAAGAAAACAAATTTCCAAACTTTTTCTGAGAGATAGTGAAAATACAGTGACTTAATTTATTTTAATTTTGAACAATTTTTACATTTTATTCAATATGCAAATGGAATGCCATGCATTTCAGTGGCGGCCTACTAAACAGATTTTGGCAATCCTGGCTCCTACTGACAGCAGCAGCGCATGTGCTATCTGACTCACTGTTTTTCATTTGTGCATTTGTTTTTCCCACACTACCAGCATTCATTACAGTCACACAACTGGGCAAGCACAGAAAATGAGTTTATGCTCTGGGAAATGGCTGAAAAGCATCATCATCTTCATTATGTCAACAATGAAAATTATGTTTGTCTGTGGTATCTGGAGTTGATGGCTGGAATGTTTGAAAACAACATGAGGCATTTTCATTCTTACCCTGAGAAAAAAATTCATGCTAGTTGTAGTTTATATTTATTTTTTATTTTCAAATAATTTGTTTTCCCCTTGCCCTTTAGAGCTGAGAAAAGTTGCATGTAATGAGTGCTATTTGTACATAAAAGCGATTTCCAGAATAAGTATAATATCACTCACTGCCTGCTGATTCTTGAGAGAAATGGCATGTGAAAAAGATACATAAACTCTTCAGATTATGCCCTTCAGTTGAACACTACCCATTTTTTAAAGAAAACAAGTGTTTATTTCCTATGCATTTTCACCTCACTTTATCTTCCTGTCAGAACAATAATAATTGCTTTGTCAACTCTCCCTATCCCCTCTATTAACTATTAGATATCTCTTGAAAAGAGCGGCCAGGACTCCACTGTAAATATAACTGTGATATAACTCCATTGTAACATAACCGTAATTCCTGCAAGTCTCAAGAGAATGGGAAGATCTTCCTTCAAAATGAAAATCAGTGAAAGTAACTTTATACACCCAAGGGGCTTGAAATAAAGCTCTGAAATCTGTGTGGTTTTCTAAATTGTCGACTGTACAACTTGAAAAGGATCACATTTTGCCTCAGCTTAAAATAACTATTTCCCCCATCAGATGGGTTTAAGAGAATAACAGAGCCAAGGGCAGCACATCAATATGTTTATCTTTTGCTCTGCAGTCAAAATTACTTCTCTCAATATTTAAACTCTGTGATAACTTTAAATGGAAGGCAGGAAGCAAAGAATAATGTGCTGCTTTAAATGTAGATGGAAAATAAGATGTTGAGACTAAATTTTAAAAACATACCAAAATATATTCACTCCACTTTCACATTTAAATAATGCTCACATTAAATAATTGTTCCAAAGGAACTGTCAGAATGAAGCAGTCAGTCATAGCTTCCCCTAGCTCAGCTTTGACAACTATAAAAGTCTAAGGCTTACAGTGAAGTTATGGAAATGATTTTTTAAAAGTCATTTGCAAAATATGAGCAAAATCATTTCTGTCTGATTATTGGCAGGAAAATGAACAAGTCCAAGAATATTGATGAGGTGAAGCTTTCTAGATTATATTGTTTACTCAGGATTATCCCAAGAAATCTAAACTGTGTGGGACTTTTGCATAAATTGCAAAGTTAGAGATATTATTGTTGTAAACTTTTATCTTA